ACGGGGAGTGATAGAAAATTAAAGCTTGCTGGAAAAGATCGTTCTGCACATTTTGAAGTCACGTTGCATAAATACTTATTTTTTTTTACTTCATCGCTCAAGTGAGTCATTGTTTTCTTAATACGAATTATATCATTGCCTATTTCTAAGAGTAGGAACCAGGCCGTATTGTAAGTACAGGATGGAACCGGCTGAAACACAATTGCTTACACAAACCCCCAAAGTACCCACTGCATCCGAGGCATCTGACTCTGGACATGCAGCAGAAACTGCCCAGACCTCAGGTACAAGGCACGCGGCTGCCAAATGGTCTGTCCCAATCCTAAAAGCAGCTCGACATGTTCTTTGGGCAAAAAGGCATGCCACTTGTCCTGAAATTCTGGATGCTATACATTGCATCATGTGTATACAGTTACATATTTAAATATAATTTATGACCACACCAGTCACGAATCGGGAACGGGTGAGCAGAGAATATAAATACCTACTGGGTTCTGCTTTTTAAGCCTGTGGCACAGCGGTACTGCCTCATTCCCAACCTCTCCATCTTCCCTCTGACCAGACACCACTTAATGCCATTTAAGTCAATAATATGGGTTATGAAGTCCCCACTCATAACCCAAATTGAACGTGTACTTTGAGATTCAAAGCTAAAGCAAAAAATGAGGAAATGTATCTATTTTCACCCAGTTACAGAATATATGACTAATTTGTCAAAATCCTCATACAGCGAGGGTTTATTTTTTTGTCAGATGAAGTTTCTAATTTGCCCAAAGCCCACAAACCGAGACCTTATTAGGATGATTTAACTCTTAATTTTCTCCAGTAGTGGGAATAAAAAGTCAATACTCATCTTTCTAAAAACAATTTGGCAATATAAATCAAGAGTCTGAGGAACATATGTATTCTGTAAGAAATGGGTTTTAAGAAATAATCAGGGATGTGGACACAGATTCAACATAAAAATGCTTATCAAAATGTATTTACAATAGACAAAATCTGGAAAAAATCCGAGTGCTCCACAATAAGAAAACAGTTAAAGTATAATTTATCTATATGGAGGAATATTACACAGCCATTAAAAAGTATGTCTGAAAAATTATAATAATGCTAATACACTAAAAAATGAGTAGTAGTCAGGAGTAAATAATTATGGTAATCTAACATTTATGCATAGAATACTTGTAAATACCTAATGAAAAAACAGTGAATTATATTGGTAGTTATTTCTAAATGGTGCTGATTCTATTCTTTACATTTTCCTATATTTTCCACAATGTCTACAATGATTCTGTATTAGTTTTATAATCATAAAAATAATAATACAGATGAAAGATACTATACCAGGTTTGTTAAAAGCATAGCACAAGGCGTGAAGCTATGGAATAAAAGCTGCTCTGTATACATAGCTTTTAAAAGAAGGACCCCCACATCAAATTCACCCAGGAACCCAAAAGCCCTCAACAGTGAGGAAAATACCCTGATGGTCTCTGAGAGTTTTGACATGTAAACCAGTCAAGCTCTCCCATACTAAGGATGAATCCTCCATTGATAGAGGCTCACAGAATCCCTCGGTTAAAGTATTCATCTGCCTGGCCCATAAAACATGACCTAGCAAGCCACTCTCAGTCAAATCTGCAAGAGGGACAGAGGGCCCCAGGTAACCTGATGCGCCCAGAACATGTCTGCAGCTTTAACAGGTGCAAACAACTTCACTCGTCTAAATATAAACCGACCCAGGCAGTTTGGAAAGTCTCTCCTCCTTTCTATTCTCATCAGGCACAAGAATGTTCTCTTCTTTAGTTCCGACTCTTCGTGCTGGGTATTTTTATTTAGATTTGCTCTACAATATTTTTTTTTGTTCAAAGAGAGGCAGTGTTATAACTCTAAGAAGGAAAAAAAAAGACTTTTCTTCTAAAATCTTGGATGAAGATAGGACCTCGGTTGGGGCTGTCTTTGAAATGTGTTAGGTTGAAAAGGAGATAAGACAACAATATTTTTAACAACCTCCTGGATGAGCACAAAGATCATGTTAACACATGCGTAGAGAAACATTGCTTTCATCAGCACAGTGGGAATTCTTCGGGGGAGTCTACAGAGCCCTGCGCCTTTGCTCATTGCTGACGTATTCTCCCATCACCCCTAAACTCTGACTCCCCCTTCAGGATGCGGCTCAGTGCTCACTCCTTCAGTAGCATTCTCTGACCTCCCCCGCTTCCCACCCTCGCCTCCACGGCCACATATGCCCAACCTTCCTGTTAGCTCCCAAAACACAGAGATTTACCTTCCATACGTTTATCCCACTTCATTATTTAATCTAAGAGAGTAGTAAGATATATTTCATTTTTCCATATCTGGCACCCAGGTTTACAGTAGTTTCTGACTGAAGTATTGTTGAATGAATGGACAAGGGTGTAAACAAGGACTGAAGGAATCACTGATGAGCCCATATTTAAGGAAGAAAAAAGACAGTGGTACCACTAATAGACACAAAAAAGGAGAGTTTATGGGAATATAATTAGCTATGATTAGCTACAGTTAGTCTTTTTGGTTTATTTGAAGAGGGGAGGGTTGTCTTATTGATTGAAATTAAAACTAAAATGCCAAATGTTATCAATGAACTTGGTATGTATTGACTAATGGCTTGAAATTGTCTGTTTTGGCTTTCTTTCTGCACTAAAATGAGAGTGAGGCAAGATCTCAATGTCCAAGGGCCGGTCGAGCTGTCAGGTTCTGGGGCTCTGGACTGCTATGAATCCTGCTGGAACGGTCCTCCAAAGCTGGCACCCCAGCTCTTTCCTGGTCGCAAATAAATCTGTGTTCTTTCCAAATGCATAGATGCCACACTCCTACCTACCAAGACTGTGGTATACCACTGGTAGGTTTAGCTCCACTCTCTCGGTCTGAAATAGTGATCAAAACCACCAGGAAAATTATTACTCAGGTTTCCTAGATCTATGTAAGGAAAATGCTTCCAAACCCTAATGCTGTAAAGTAGTGTTCACTTGTCCCAACTTCCTCTCAGTTTGCTTCAGATCACCCTTTGCCTGCACACATTTTGCAATACCTGTTGGCACTTTACCGTTGAGCATGCACTTAGCACGCTCACTACACTGGAGACACGCAGCCAACACTTGGCTTAATAAATCTTCAACTCACTCATCAGCTAATAAAGGGGGTTTAGATTTGGGAATGGGATTACTGCACAGAAACTTTATTTGCCAACCACCTACCAATAGCCGCTTTTGCAGGTGGTCTTATTTCAGACTTGCCCATGGAAAGAGAAGGAAGAGGGCCAATGATTGCCCTTCAGACAGGGAAACTGTGGGGAAGCTCTCGAAGCTAAAGGCCTCTGTTGGATTACTGTAGCTGACTAGAGTCTTAGTCTCAATTAGCACAGTTAGGAAATGCTCTTCTATCCCTTAAAGCAGAATTTCCCAAATACCACATTCAATATAATGAATTTTCATAAATATATTCAATGTAATGGACTGGTCTTTACTCTCAGATTATGTTCCTTCTTTCATTCTGCTGTGATTGCTGTTAAAGAGAACTTTTTTTCTAAATAAAAAGATAGTAACTGAAGATGGTAAATCTATTTTCTTTAATTCAATGTCTTTACTTGGCACTTTGAAAAGATGACAACCCCAGTATCAACTTCCAAAATTCATTAAAATTAGAAAACTGGGATCCTCGCCCCTAAAGTGACCTGCTCAAAGCTAATCATAAAAGAGATTTTTTATATGTGACCATATAAATATATATGTATTGATCACATAGGAGAGGAAGGGCTTTTGGTCTCTTCTAATCTCGTCATTCTCCACAGACCTCAATATATCAGAGATCATGTCCAAGTCATTCTTGTAACAGATTCCAGCCAGGTAATTTCTGCTAAAATATCCTACTTTGTTGTGTCTAATATGCACCTACGTTTTTGTGTGCATTATACACGGGATTATTATACCCATGGTATGTAATCATCATACCCATGTATAATGCACACCCTTATTTTCCCCTCAAATATTTGAGAAAAAAAAGAAGTGTATGGTACCTACCTGAGAAACCCTCAATTATGTACATTTGGCCCTCTGTGAAATGGGTTTGGTCCTTTGCCCCAATAACAACTGTATAAAAAGAACTGTACTGTATTCCTATCTCGGTAGCACCTGGATCAAGACGGGCACCAAGTAAACATTCAATAACTGTTAGGGCACTATCTCAGGAGCTGGGAATAACTACCCAGAGAAATGCCATCTAAACTGGAGGGAAATACCAGGATTTCCTCAGGGCATCTCCAGGCTCCGCAGGTGGTAGGGGAAGGTTTGCTCTGCAAGGCTAAAGTGTGCTGATGAAGGCGGGGCCAGTGGGACAGTGTAAGAAGGCTTTGCCTAGAAGCAGGAACTTTGCAAACAGCTTCTGTCAAGCCTCTTTCCGTAATGGCATGCTCCTCTATAGGAAAAGAGCTTCTGGCCCCTGGAACCTGTCCCCAGGCTCTTTTCAGGGGCCTTTCTGTTTAATTTCACCTTTCTGTTGAAACGGTGACCCACTGCCCTTCCCAGCCCGGACACTGCAGCCCTGTCCCTCCCGCCGCTCAGCAGATCACGTGGTGGAGCGGTGCTCTCCAGGAGCGCGGCCTCGCAGCAATTGGTCCCTGCTCCGGTCCTGGGCACACCCATTGGCTGCCCTGGGTGTTCACGTGAAAGGGGGTCGGGGATGGCATCCCGAGAAGGGAGAGGTGGCAGGAAAGTTAAAGGGAGCAACACTGCAGCTGGGAGCCCGAGTCCCAGGTGGCGGGGAGCCGGGAGGAGGCGAGCGGGGTGCTTGAGTACGGACATATGCGGCCGCCGGCGGAGGGCGCGGACCTGAGTCTCGGCCCCCGCTGCTGCTGTCGCACCGGCTGCTCCAGCCAATCTAGCACTGATGGAGCCGCAGGCTGGCGCCTCTGCACCTCGGGGCTTATGAGCTGTACCAGGTAAAGTCCTCCCCAACACCCTGGAGTCCGAGCGCAGGGCGGCAGCACGGCGGCGAGGGGCGCGCAGCGGAGACCCTCTTTGGTTCCGGCCATCTACACTTTCTCCGTCCAACTTGCAGTTTTCCTCTTGGGTGGAACAGTCTAGACAGGCTCCGGGAAGCTGTTGCTTCCACGTGGAGCGGGCAATGCGGGGACGAGAGGTGGGATGGAACTTGACCGGAGCCGCGTTTTCCACCGAGGTGCGGTCTCCGCCAGACTGGGACTTCAGATACCCTTGCCCTCTATTGTCCCTGGAGTGTGTCTCCGGAGTTGGGCGGTGGGGTCTGGAGCACAAGAAAAAGTCGATTCGTCTCTCTCCGGACTGGGTTCACCGTAAAACTCAAAGAAACACACTTGATAGTCTCTCTGGCCACCGAGGGAGATGACACAGTGAGCGCCGCGGTGGTCGAGGTCTCGCGAAGCCGAGTCCCCTCTGGCCTCAGGTTCCCAGACTGCGGCTGTTTCGGGCCGGCTGGGAAGAGGCGGCCGCGTGGGGACGCTCGCGCGGCGCGGCCAGAATTGCCCCGCCACTCCGCCCTGGCGTAATAACTTGGGCTCCTCCTACGGGAACCAAGCGTAGTCCGGTGGCCGCGGCCTCCCCTGCCACCTCCCTCTGAACTCTCCGATGAAGCAGCGAGCGAGCTGGGGAGGGGGCTCCCCCTTGGCCCCAGAGGTGGGTTGTGGAAGGGCTTGGGGTGGGGCAGAGGATTGTAGAAGGGCTTGGGGTGGGTCAGAGAAGGGTTTGGCTGGAATGACCTGTAGGATCTTCCAGCCTAGATGTTCCACTCTTTTGAACACAGAGAAAGGTGTGTGGGAGGGATTCTCTGCAAAAGAGGTAATAGAGGGTCCAGAACGACGTATCAGAAGCTCGGGGCTCATCATGGCATCACTTCCTAGAGAAGAGGAGGAAAATTGAAGAGAGAGTTGACTTGGGAACTTGGAGAGTTTCTAGAAGGTGTTGGAGCCTGTGGTTTCTGTGGCCAGGCCTCCCTGGGAATACCAGGGTCCAGGAGAAGAGAGCACCAGGGCTTTGAACTGGGGTGCAGAGGAGAGAGGAAATGGTTCATTTGGCAGGGTTGTCCAGGAGCCAAACCTGGAGGAAGCCAGCTGGAGGCCTTACCACAAAAGTGAAGTTGAGGTGTTGACGGAAAGTTAGTGGGATGAGAAGAACCATCAGGCACTTTTGGCAACCACGAATGTCAGAGCCAGAAGGGCCCTCAGAGGAGAAAGCTAGAGCCCAGAGACTTTGAGTGACTTGGAGCAAGTGGTACAGCTAGGCAGTGGCATGTCCAAGCCCGCACTCCGTGTTTCATGCGTGACATTTTTAGACGGCAGGGACTGTGCCATTTTAATTTATCTCCTTTCTGTAATGTACAGCCTCTTCCAGAGATAGTCATCTCAAAGATGCTTTGGATGGTCTGACAAGATACAGGAATCCAAGTGGCTTTTAAGGCTATGAATAAGGGCCCCATTGTTAGAGTACAAAGAGAAGGATGTCAGCTTTACTCATACTGTGCCAACCGAACCTTTTGGGAGGGGATAAAGGTATACTGAAGGGGTAAATGGCCAGGTTTTTAGAAAAATTATGAACAGTTGTGACTGCTTACCTAATGTAGTTTCAGTGTTCCTGGTGCAGGGTGGGGGAGCATTGGTCCATCTTATTTGTCTGTCTTCACTTATCAAAGTGAAAGACAATGGAGGGGGAAATACAGAAATATCTTGGTCTCAAGACAAAAAAGAGACTTCCTATAAAAGGCATGGCTAGAAAGTCAGTTGGTCAGCTGACACTTTGATGGTCAGGGGGTTATTTTCTCTACAAGCCTACAGTTTTCATTAGAAAAGTCACTAGGACATCTAGCTCCAGCCACCTGTCTTCAGGTGGGGTGTGTTCTTTGTCATTAGTGGAACAGGGAAAACCTTCATGCAGATCCATCTGTGCTCTCTGATTTTCCTGGGGTGTTGGGGTTCGCCTGCTTTTGACCAGGAACACTGAAATCCACCCCTGGGCACGGCCCAGGCCCTAACAGGGCCAATGTGAACCCAGGTACCTATTTGGAAGCAAAGTGTTTGAGCATCCATGCTGGTCTGAGTAGCAGCCACTCATGCTCTCGTGATCCTGTCCTGCCATGAACTGGCATCCAGCTCCTGTGTCACACTGGGTCCAATGTGTGTGTTGTTCAGTTTTTACTTCGGGCCAGCCTCGGTGACTGACATTCCCTGGTCCGGGTGGGAAAGGGCTGGAGCGGCAGCGTGTCCGTCTGAAGTGGCCTGCGGTCCAGCGGGGCTCATCCTGGGCTGGGACTGGTCTTTCTATGCCATGCAAGCATCCAATGCCCGTCCAGGCGCCTTCCCTCCGGGGACTCAGGAAGCTAGTACCATGTTGCTAGGACAGTTTCTGGGTGATGGTCACCCCTGTGACAGTCCACTGGGGAATTCCTGAGCAATGCGTGAGGAATGCCTACACCAAACCAGCACTTGGGTGACTGAATCTTGGAGAATGTTTCAGTTAGTAAAACTGGAATCTACATGTGAGGGTAGGCAGAGTGGCCAACGGTCAGATCCTATCTTAGACGGAGGCCACAGGGGTGAATGTCCAGTTGTGGTGACACTGAGAAAGTGAAGGGGTGCTGGGCAGGGTGGCTTGTGCAACCCCCCTGGGGCAGTACCCTTGGGTCCACGGGTAGTTAACCTTGCTTTTGCCTTTCGTGGAAGAACGTTGCAAAACTGATTAGGCTCTAGAAAGTGCCAGTGGAATTGTTTAACTAGCTCTGGCTACTACTGGAACCTCGCCACCTGACCCCCAGTTCCACTAGTTTGTACAGCTTGGTGCTAAAAGGGATCCCGGGCAGATTTCCACCTCTGAGTCCAAACAGTGTAACTTAATCAAATCTCCATTCTTCAACTGATTCCCCTACTTTAGAACTGTTTCCACACTATCTCAGGAGTTTCCCAGCCTTTTGTTAATGAGCTGTTTTGATGTCGTGTGGGAAAGCACAAACGAGGTTGGCTGGCTGGGCAGAGGGAACTTGCAGCTGACCTTGTGCTGACTCAGGCAAGGAGGAAGCTGCTGTGGCCAAGGAGGAAGCCCCCCTCCCTCCATTCATACTCGGGTTGTCAAGAGTGGGCAGAGTGGGAGGGGCTGTGATACAGGGCCTTGCCCCCTGCTTGGTTTTTTCATTCCCATTGAATAAAAAACAAACCAACAAAAACTACCTGTGTTGAAGTTTAGAGCTGAAGAGGTAATTCTAGTACATTCTAACAAAGTTTTGCAATGGACCAGGGAAAAACTTAGTTCAACTATTTCGTAAGTTAAGGGCTTTTTTGTTATGTAGTTTTTTTTTTTTTTTTTTTTTCATTGAACCTGTTGGTCAACACTCTTAAAAGGTATTGTGCACAACTCAGTTGGAACACTCCTTTCCAGAACAATCGCAGGGGTATAAGAACAGATAGTAGAAAGCTAATCGCCCTTATCATTTTGCTCATTTGACTTTGTTACAGAGGAAACATAAGACAAATACCCTCTAAAATGAATGTTTAGATAACTACCTTATAGCTGTAAATTATTGTTTTATTTGTCTCAGAATGCGTATGTTTCTCCAGTTGGTCATCGCTAAGTGGTTCCTGCATCCTAGGGAAGTGCTGTAATTCTTTTGGAAAAATTCTTTTGATCAAACCGTTATGTCTTTGTCCTTTCTCATGGTTTTCACTGTCTTTGGTTAACCAAAATCATAAGGTAAAAATGAGATAGTATTTATTGGACCTAAGCAGTGGTCCCAGCTCTGAGCAACATTTTGGACAAAGGTTGCTGTCACTTCTCCTTAATTAACTACCCACCGCCCTGCCACCTCCGCTGTGGGGTGGGAACTGGGGGAGGCCTGAGAGCAAGCACCCCAACACAGCGCCGCACACCGACCTCCCTGCCGTAGCGAGGGGGGCATGTCTGGGAACTAACCGGTTCCTGCATTCTGTGATTCTCAGACTGGAGAGTTTAAACCTGGCTTCATCTCTGACTTCTCAATTAGCCCATTGTAACTGTCAAATCAGAACATGAATTTGCCATAATAATTAGAAAGCTAAAATTTGCCCAGCTTTATTGAGGGAATTGTGCTGAGTGTGATTTTGGCAAATCTTGAAATAGTTGAGGGCTGTGGGGTTTTTTTAGATTCACTTTATTCTGATTATGGAAGGGATATTAATTTAGAAAATGTAAGCAAGAAAACAAATCTCCGGAAATCACATCAACAGGATATTCTGACAGATTTGAGTGTATCTCTAGTCCTTTTTTTGTGAATATGCATAATATACTATTTTTGCCCACGGGCCTGGTGTCTGTGTATAGTTTCATCCTCTCCATTTTTTACATTAACATTTTTAGTGCCGTTCAAATCTTTCTCCAAATAGTGGTTTGATGATGATATAAAATTTTATCCCATGGATGTGGTACACTTGATTTTTTAACTCAATACCTGTTATTGGCTATTTTATTATTTTCTCACCCTTCCCCCTGTAATGTTGTCGTTGAACATTTTACTGCATTTAGTGCATTCCCCTCCATGCATTTTTATTATTTCCTTAAGATAAAGACCTGCATGTGATATTAGAACCAAAAACAATAAGAATATTTAGAAAAGTTTTACTAATTTGGATTAATACAGGTATTTGTATCATCTTTTAAAATTCTGACCTAATTCAGTAGGTAAAAATGGGCATTGTTTCCTAATCTAATTTTCTTAAATTACTTACAAAGTTGGACATTTTGCATATTTATGAGCCACTTTTAAATTTCTTCATGAATTTCCTATGCATGCCTTCTTATTTTTGTATGTGAAATACTTGACATTGTTATTGTTTTGTAAGACTCTTTACATATTAAGGCACTAACCCTTTGCTGTCATGATTTTTGTAGTATGTTTTTCAAGTGTGTCTTTAATCTTTTGATTAAGCTTTTTTTTCACTTAAGAAAAATACAGTATTCGTAAGTCAGATTTAACCTAATCTTTAGAATGATTCTGTTTGCTGTTATTCTTATAGAGGCTATTTTCACTGTAGCAAAAAAACAAAAATTCACCTATATGAAAAGTTTAAAAGTACTAACCTGCTGTTTTTTTAAAGAAAGGTATACTGGGTTATAAAAACCTACTGTACATTTAATAAAAGTAGGTTTGTGTTCGTCTACACTATTCGAGTCCAGTATACATCGAAATGTCTGGCATGTAGTCAACACTAATCCATATTTATGGGATGAATCCATTTCTTTCTATTTAACTAAAGCCGCATCTACCAAAGTATGTACCTCAGAACAAGTATCCTGCTTGATGCTCCACAAAAAGGGTTCCCTAGTCAGATAAGTTTGGGCAGTTCTGCAAACAGTCTGCGCTGTTATTGATCCTCATAGCAGATCATTACAGAAAAGCCTATAAACTTAGTGTTACAACCAGTGGTTCCATACTTGTTGTTTGTTTGTTTTGACCTTGGACCTCTTCCTCCCCACCCCCACTCCACACTCTTCATCTCCCTTGAAACCAAGGTCGGGCTGGACCACAGCGGAGTTGAAACTGAGCTATGGCCCTGTGGACAGAGAGGAAGGAAAGCAACATCAGTCTGATCTCATTGCTCTTTCTTTCTTTGCCCCTTTTGCCAGGGTTCTAGCCTATTCCCCTGACCCAACGATGGCTGTGGAGATAGAGTGCAGGTACAGCTGCATGGCCCCTTCCTTGCGCAGAGACAGGTTTGCCTTCAAGATCTCATCGAAGCCGAGCAAACCTCTGAGGCCTTGTATCCAGCTGAGCAGCAAGAATGAAGCCAGTGGAGTGGTGGCCCCCGCCATCCAGGAGAAAAAGGTGAAAAAGCGAGTGTCCTTCGCAGACAACCAGGGGCTGGCCCTGACAATGGTCAAAGTGTTCTCGGAGTTTGATGACCCATTAGATATTCCGTTTAACATCACCGAGCTCCTAGACAACATTGTGAGTCTGACGACAGCAGAGAGCGAGAGCTTTGTGCTGGATTTTCCTCAGCCTTCTGCAGATTACCTAGACTTCAGAAACCGGCTTCAGACCGACCACGTCTGCCTGGAGAACTGTGTGCTGAAGGACAAAGCAATCGCAGGCACAGTGAAGGTGCAGAACCTCGCGTTTGAGAAGACGGTGACAATAAGGATGACATTCGACACTTGGAAAAGCTTCACAGACTTTCCCTGTCGGTACGTGAAGGACACCTACTCTAGTTCAGACAGGGACACGTTCTCCTTTGACATTCGCTTACCTGAGAAAATCCAGTCTTACGAAAGGATGGAGTTCGCTGTGTGCTATGAGTGCAACGGCCAGACCTACTGGGACAGCAACAAGGGCAAAAACTATCGGATCACGCGGGCGGAATTAAAATCCACGCAGGGGACAGCCGAATCCCACAATGGACCAGACTTTGGAATATCCTTCGACAACTTCGGAAGCCCTCGCTGTTCCTATGGTCTGTTTCCAGAGTGGCCTAGTTACCTAGGGTACGAAAAGCTAGGGCCCTACTATTAGTGACTGGGAGGTCCCAGCAGGTGCAGACAAGCCTAGCCGCCCTCACGGTGGGATGGAGATGGAAGCCAAGAGAATAGCTGAACTGCCATTAAGCACAGTTTTTGAAAAGAAAGGATCCTATGCAGTTTTCCCTTCAACCAGCAAGTCCAGCCCGGCCTAGATCACAGAACTGGCTTCACGCTCAGAGGGGCTTTGGTGTGCTGGCACCTGTGGCAACCACAGCATCTGGCTGGGCAGGATGGTGCCAGAAAGGGCCTGGACAGGAACCAGGCTGCAGGCTGTGCTGGTGAGACTGGAGCATGGTGGCTTCATAACGATGCAACTTGGAGGGTGCCCGGGCTGGGTGGAAGAGCCACTTGGGAAAGTCAGTCACTTGCATGTCACTGTCCCCAGCCACCATGTGGATCCTGGCTGCTCGTCTTTGGGTGTTCTCCACCCAGCCAGGCCTTTCCTGCCTGTTGCTGCTGTCCCACGTCCATGTGTTCTGCATACTTTGCGCGCATTTTGTGTGTGTGTGTGCATGTGTTTTTCTTCAACAGTTCGCCTGATGTTCAGGAGAAGATAAGAAAGGGAAATCAGCCTGTGAGATGGGCACTTCCCCTTTCTGACCCAAAGTAACTGGCTTCTGGTCAGTGGTATAGACTGTGTCTGTGACAGCAGGACAGTCATGAGTGGGACACTTTTGGCTTCTCCTCTTGGCTTTTGGGGGAGCTTGCTAAGTACTCAGTCTTAACCTGCGTCACCAGATGGCTCAATGACAGGGGTGCCTTCGGAAAATGTCTGCTTTTCTTCTGGCTGTGATTTACAATGTCCAGGACACTTTATACGCACCCAGGGGCTTTGATTTGGGTGTTCTTATTTATGGCACGTGAGTATGGTTACGTGAAGCGGGAGGGGAGAAAAACCGAAGTTCTCCTACGTATCGCAAGTCTGAAACGTCGGATGTCGGTTGCTCTTCAGCGTGTTGGACTGAGGGATTACAAACCCTCACCGTTGTGAGACCCCGAGACTTTGACTGTCAGAGGGCTCCCCAGACCCTGGGACTTTCCCCGGGTGGGACTGGTTTGTACTTGGGGTGGTTTACAATATTTTTACATATGTATTTGTAGAAGGTGGAGGGGGGGTTCTGTTTTGATTTTGTTTTTGGAGATTAAACAACACTCTCAGTTTCCTTTTGCCTGATTTACTCAAGTGAGGTTTCCTGAAGGGAGGCAGGAGGCAGAGACTCAGCCCCTGGACTCTGGCAGCGAAGACTGACCTTCCGTTTGCATTTTCCAGGTCACTTAGGAAGGGTGTCCCGCTTCTGTGTGGATGAGCGTCAGGCAGGGACAGAGTGTCTGGCTTGGCTCCTGGAGTTTGGTGGTGGGTTTTTTTTGTTTGTTTCTTTTATGAACTTTAAAATGTTTTGACTTTTAAAATGCTCTTTAAGTGGTGTTTGATGTAATTCTTCTTCCTAAAAAAGGCTGTTAGTAGTCTGCAATCTAGTGCTTTATTCTCTATGCTTCTGCCAGGTGGGCAACCCTGAGGGATTCCGGGATAATAGAATTTATGGGAAAATCACATTCGTCTTGTGCTGAAGTTGGACAGAACTGTGATTTATCTAAGCGTATCTCACATCAAGTACACAGAGAGTACTTTGTGTTACAAATCTTGTTGATCAGAGCCATTAAGAGTGTAAATCTAAACTGAATGGAAGAAAAACTGATTTTATATAGGTCATGAATTGATTTTGGCTTAAGGAGTCCCCTCCCTTCCCCTCCCTTCCCGGACAGGTGTGAGCTGCACTCGAACGTTACCAGACTAAAGGTAGTGAGATCATTCTGTGTGCCTGAGAAAAATGCCTCAAGTGATTTCTCTATGGTTTTCAATAATATAGTGATCCCAAGACATTCCTGTGTCAAAATTTGAAATAGGGTGATTCTGTGATAAGTATCTCTAAGTATCTCTTTTAGAACAGCTGTAAACCCTCCTTTTCCCCTTGTTGAGTCCCAGCCCTCCCCTGCCTTTTTTTTTTTTTTTTTTTTTTTTTTTGCTGGCGGCTCTGGCTGCAAGCCCCCCAGCCTGTGCACCTGGGACCCTCACCCACCAGGCAAGTCCTCACCCTCTCACAAAGACCCCACTCCGACTAAGGAGTCTGGTGCCCAGCTCCCCCATCAGCATTGCCATTCAGTGAGCTAGGAGCCTCTGAAGAATACCAGCCCCTGTTTACCAAGCAGACTTTCTCCTTCTGTCCCAGTCTCTCCCTGATTGTCACCAGATGGCCTCAAGAACTGCCTGAATGGAACCTCTCATTTCGTAGGTCTCCATCAGCTCACAGGTCTCCACGCTTTAGAGAGAGGCAAGTTTCCAGATTGTAGACCTCCCTGCACCTGGCCTGTAGGTTTGGCCCTCACACAGCTCTTGGCTAGGATGACAAATGGCCTCAGTCCTGGGGTCCTTCCTGAGTTGCCCCAAAGGCCCGGCCTCCTGCAACGGGGCCTGTGGTGCAGGAACGGGAAAGCAGCTCCACTTTTGTTTCTTATTTATTCCCCAAAATGCCCTGAGTTAGCGTTTGCAAATTAGGTGCAATAAATAAGCTGGACTATATAAAGATGTAATAAATAAGCTTTCAGTGTTTCTTGGAGGAGATGAAGCACTTGAGTGGGTTTCTTTCTCTCGCTCTTTTTTAATATTCTTGTTGTAGGGTAGCTGGTAAGAAATAATGGAGTTACGTCGTAGTTCTCCACAGATTAAAACAATTTCAGAATCAACATAGAATTTCTTTTTTTTTCTATGATTTAATTTTAGTGGTGGCAAAACAAGACTCAATGTTTTTTAAAGCTGTAAATTTCGAACTGCTAAACGAATTTGTGGTTTTTATCTTTGCTTATAATTGCTTTTGAAAAACAAGCATCACTTGTAGTCACTTGGATGTTAAATGGGTTATATATGTGTTTTTAAGCCCAAAAAGGGATTGTTTGCTCACTTTTTAGAAATGCCCATTTTCTGGTTCTCAGTGGACAGGAAATGAAAGCCTTGGTTGTTTTTTTTTTTTTTTTTTTCATTTGTTCCCTCTTTTAAACCCCCCCCCCCCACTGGATGTGGTTCGCCAGAGCAGGCCTCATGGCTCTTTGCTCTGGGAGGTCCCGATCTGCTCGTCTCTTCGGATGCGATCACTGACATTGAGGAGAAGTGAAACAGAGAATGGTATCTTCCAGGGTCATCAGAAGATACTCAGGCAGCCACCTTCACTTCCTGAAGTGGGGTGCAGCTGGGGTGGGGAGGGGGCTGTGGCTCTGAGCGGCTCCTCCTTGGGGTCGAAAAGCAAAGCAGCCCAGGCTGTGAAGCCATGAACGTTTTTACAGTTCTGTTATCGGGTCCCAGAGATTGCTGGGCCCGGGAGGACTCCCAGAGTGCTGCCTCGACGACAGGCACAACGTGGTTTCGCTTTGACTTCACTGTGAATGTAGAACTGAAAGCTCGGCTTCAGTGCACGCCTGCAAGTGCCTTGTCAAGGAATTTCCACGTTTTAAAAAATATTTTTGTACACAAAGCGAAAGGGGAAATGCACTTTAAAATCACAAGAATGGATGTATTTTGTGTGGTATAAGAGAGTGGTTTGTAACAAATGGAAAAACATAATAAAGGTAGTAAAAAACAAAACGGAAACTGTCCTGTTTTAAACTGCTTCTCGGCTGGGAGTCAGATGCGGGGAGAATGATTCTCAGTGTGTTTGCAAACACATACAGGACACAGGTTTGCAAAGGGACAGGGCGTGGTCAGTGGCTGAGCGGACAAAGCTGGACGACACAGAGGAAGGGCTGGGGAATGGCTTTGTAAGTTGTCGCGGTAGCTTATTATAGCTCAGGAAATATGTGCTGGAGACAAAGCACAGGGGCCAGTGTGGTTCTGAGTCCATTTTTTGCAAGCTATACGTGATTTTATTTTTAAATTTGTTGAAGCGGCATTGGTTAATAAGATGATACAGGTTTCAAATGTACATTTCCATGATACACGATCTGTACGTTGCACTGTGTGCCCACCACCCAAAGTCAGATCTTCTCCCACCACCATGTACGGACCCCTGTACCCTTCACCTCCCTCCATTGCCCCTTCCCTCTGGTCACCACCCCAGTGTTGTCTGTGCCCAAGTTTTTGTTTGTTCTGGTTTGTTCAGTCATTGCTTTCAGTTTTGAATCCCACATATGATTGACATCACACGGTTCTTCATTTTTTCTGTCTGGCCTGCTTCGCTTAGCGTGATGTTCCGAATCCATGTTTCACGATCCCAGGGCATGCATGTCACTTCCTACCCTCTCGCTTGTTCTTGAAGCGTATTTTTGGTTTGGTGTATTCAAAGGTGGGAACACTGTAAATGCCACTAAGAGCTTTTCACCACTTAATCCCACTGTCACCAGCAAAACCAGCCAGCTCCCGACAGGACTCCTTTTTTATCTGTCATCCGACATTCACCCTGAAGAAGCTTTCCAGAGACGTTTTATTTCCAAGTTCAGAAGAGGGAGTGGAGGCAGAGGGGCACCGCAGCCAGACAGTGCTGCCGGGTCAGTCTCCACCCCCAGAAGGGCAGCAGTGGTTCTGGGGGGGAGGGGAGCACGCGAAAGCTGCACCCCGAGCAAGTAGACGCAAAAAGTAAGCTACGTACATAATTGCCTTTCCCAAGAATATCAAACTTCATAGAAATTGGAAGGGGGAAGATAACACTTTTTTTGAATGAATGTCTGTGCTGAGATTCAAAATGGTTTTTATACTCCTATAATTCCGACTTGTGAGACAGACACCTCAGAAATGGCTGGGGTGAAGAAAAGAACATTTCTTCGAGCCTTGTTCCCAGAATCGCAAACATCCAGCTCTCTGAACAACCCGGCTGAGCATTTACTGGCGATCTGCCATGTGCCAGGCTGTGCTAGGTGCTTTTCTGCCCACACCTGTAAGAGACACTCGTTTTAGGTGAATCCTCTGGTGGCTGGGAAACAGTGTGGTCTACTGCTCAGTGGAATCAGGAGTCCGAGAGCTTGGGTTCTGGCCTTGACCCTGCCATCCCCTGTCAACGGCTGGACTGAAGGGGCCCTTAGTGTTTCCAGCAGGAAGGAGAAACCAGGGGCTCTAGTCAGGCCCTGAGCACTTTGGAGAGTTGACCAGCACGTTCATTTTTAAAATGTTTTTAAATATAAACTTGGAGCAAGTACCATGTACGTTATTTGCATTCTTCGTAAACTCACAGGAATGAACAGCATTCCAGACAACAGTGTGCACTTGCTGAAGTCATCAGTGTTCAGGCCGGAAGGGACAGCGGAGCTCGTTTAGCGGGTAAGGATATGTAGGGCCTGAGTGTGTCTCCTGAAGTTACACGGGCAGGGACAAAGCTGCAGAGGACCATGAGGTCTTTTTTGCTTTTTCTGAGGACTCTGCCCCCAAACTGGCATCAGTCTCAGAGAACCGAGACTCGGGTTGATTCTGGAAAGAAGACCCTCGTGATAGAGAAGTAACTCCCAGGGGCGAGTGAACACGTGCATCCTTATAGACAGCAGGCACGTCCCCCCCAAAGGCTTCCTCAGCACATACATGGACCGCTGACCCAAGGGAGTGGGGGGGCCGGACACCCAGAGGTTCAAACACGTAAATCTCTGAAACAGCTGACAGCTGATTCAAACATATTTTTAAAAACACAGCATTGGACACACACACACACACAGACCCCTGCACACTGGCATGAAAGTGGACATTAAATAATTGGGGTATCTGAGGGCCTGAAGGGACAGCAGGCTGTTGTTGATGGCAGGAAGCCATCGAAGGGGCCTGTGGCTGCAGCGGCCGTCTGGGAGACTGGCAGGGTCGAGGCCTCAGCATCGCCTAGCACGGGGACAGAGCCCCACTGCAGCGCGGGAGGCTTTGGCCTTCATTCCTCTCCCTCGCTGTCGCTGACCCTTGGTGAGGAGATAGACAGGGCAGCGCCACTGGTGCCGTTTGTGGCCACACAGGATTCTCTGGTAGGCGACGTGTCTCCACAATGCTGATGTACCTGCCAGCATCAGGCCCTCCGCTGGGCTTGAACTGCCACAGGTAGGGTGAGGGTGCACAGCACGTCATAATGACTCAGCAACTGGACCTTCCACCCAAAAGATCAGGTGGCTTGGTCAAGGGTCAGCAACCTTTATCTGTAAAGGGCCAGAAAATAAATATGTTAGGCTTGTCAGGTCCTCATAGGGAGTCTTTCACATATTCTTCTTTAAAAATGCAAAAGCCGTTCTTAGCTGTGGGCCATACAAACCAGGCCGAGGGCCGGACTTGACCTGCCGCCTGGAGTCTGCTGACTCTGGCTGAAGAGTCTTATGGGAAGAGCGAGACTTCAGAGCCAACTTGCAGACCCTCAGCTGAGGTCTGGAGTCAACTTTGCAGTTTGTTTGTTTGTTTAAAGACTGTATAACTGACGATTCTAACTGGGGTGCTCTGAGAATCAATGGGGTGCTGTGAAGTACCCTGGAGCCCTCGGCCTCATCGGGGAGCCTCCTGGGCAGACCGAACTGTGGGAGTCGAGGCCGCCTCCCCCTCCTCTGGGCTTTGTGATCTTTCTCTGGGGAGCTCGGGAAGCCAGACCGGTCATGGGCTAGAATCAGTTCTGGCTGGATGGTGCCCTTTTTTTGGACGAGTTAGAACAGAGTGGTAATTTTGTCTGTGGTTTCCATGTTTTTGTTGGTTAGCTTTTCTGTTTCCTAATTGTAGTGCTGGTGGCCAAAAGCCCTCTGGGGACTCTAGTCAATTCACTCTTAAGGGTAGAAAGTTTAGAAGGAAAGGGGTTATTATTGGTCTGGGCTTATGTCCTACTACCTCTGCCCCTCCCCCCACCCTCGCCACCCCTGTCCCCAACGAAGAGAGCATGGCAAAGCTCCCCGAGAAGTTGGTCACTGTAGGCATGGACACAGGCTGACTTGAGCACCATTCCAAACCCCAGTCCCCGGAGAGAACACTGCAGTGCGTCCAGGAATTTGGCCAAGTGCAGGGTCTCGGCCCATCTTTCCCTGGCCCAGCCAGTGTGAGACACCTTCAGCTTCCTGAGGGCCATCCTTGTAGTGTGGGGCCACATGTTCTTCCTTCCGTTTTGTCACCTGCTCCCGCTGGCATTCGAGTTGCCCAGCGCTGGAAGAGGGCCTGTTGTGTTAGTGCTGTGGGCACGTGGAAAGGTTTGGATGAAGCCCCCATAGGTCCCAGGGGGACTCTCACACTCCAGAGGGCAGTTAAGCTTTCCAGAGTGCACCCCTCTTTTAGAAAAAGGGGAACAGCACACATCACTGCCCGCACTGCTACGGCGGGGGAGAAAGAGACATTAGTCACTGTTCTCCTGGGCTCACTCCCAGGACCACCTCATTCATCCCCCCTTGGTGGACACCAAGTACCCATCTGAAGGTGGATTAGCCAGGTGACATTCCACGTTCCTCTTGCCATATCATTTTATTGAAAATTGTTTCATTATTGAGTATTCACCATTAATCAGTTTTCTAATGAAACAGCACTGAAACAGCCCCCTGATACTTCCATAAGTTCTTGCACACTGCTTTGCACATCAGTTCAGGCAGCTAAGCACTTGCTAATTTGAGTTCTCCAGTGTCCAGTTGCTTTCCTCATCAATTGGTCAAGCACTTTCCACCTTGGATCTTCGTGCCTTATATTATTCATGTGTTATTATTGCATACACACACACAGACTTTGCAAAGGAAAATTATTTCCTCTGCAAAAGGCCCTCTCATGCTGGTTCATGTTCCTGCTTTGAGATGGGAAGTTCCAGGCCCACAGTTCCTGCAGGTGAGGCCCTCTCTGTCCTCCCCAGGGCAAAGGGTGGCGTGGAAAGAGAACAGTCTGTGGCTGTGGCTGGAGCAGCACAGAGACATGAGGCACTGGCCCTTCTACCTGCACAGCAGGGCACACCCCTCGTCTGCTCGGCCTCCCCACTGTCTTCCCCAGACGGGGACCCAGGGGCACCAGGTCTCCAAATGCAACCTCTGCTTCTTGGGCCAGCGAACTCAGACGGGAGCAGCCAGTGGCTCTCAAGTGGTATACAAAGCATTGGAATCTTTCTAAACCAAATCTCACATAAAGCTAATTTTCATAGTTGATAGAACAGGAGCCGCCCAAGGTAGATACCTCAAGCTGTAGGGAAGCCACCCATCCTCCCTCCACAGACTCCTGGGGCACTTCCTGGGAACCCTGGGCTCCAGAAATCTGGGTGAGAACCTTTCCCTTACGGCTCACAAGTTCGCAGCTCCTGCTTCCCATACTAGTGAATGTAGGTCGAGAAAATCCCATAAAATAAAACAAAAGCTAGCTAACAAACAAAGCCCCTCTGAGAGGAAAACACAACTATTTAACCCCCTATAATGCCAAAGGACTTTGGTTATGTTTGGGCTATGTTATCAAGAATAATGATCACCTCCTGGCACAAACAAATCATCAGCTTGTTCACACAGAGCTACATTTGAATTGCTTATTATCGTACATATGTGTCCTACATTTTCCTACAAAAATGACACTTGACAAGGCAACTTCTATTCCATACTAACAATATATTAAACAAAATTGCTGAGAACTTTTAAGGGCAAGGTTATAATTGGGGCCAAGTCGTCTGGGGAACAGAGAAAGAAAAAGACCGGCCATTGTTACCACACTATTTGCACCCTCTCCAATGGCTATTTCAGTCTCTCTTCTCGCAAACTGCACATTTTTTACTCCATTTACTTGCATCAAACTAAGCCCAGACAGGGAGCCCTAATGGTTTTCTTTTTTTTTTTTTTTTTTTTTTTCTTTTAAAGATTTTATTTATTTATCTTTAGAGGGGAAGGGAAGGAGAGAAACATCAATGTATGGTTGCCTTAGGTGCGTCCCCTGCTGGGAACTGGCCTGCAGGGAATCTGCCTGCAACCCTGGCATGTGCCCTGACTGGGAATCGAACCGCGATTGTCTGGTTCGCAGGCCCGCGCTCAACCCACTGAGCTACACCAGCCAGGTCTTTTTTAATTAAAATTATTTTGAGACAAAAGTAGAGTCACATGCAATTTTAGGAAATAGAGTCCGTGGACTGTTTAACCAAGATTCTCCAATGGTAACGTCTGGCAAAACTGTTCTGCAGTGTCACCCTTGGGTCACCAACACCAGTGCAGGCAAGACACAGGCCATTTCTACCACCGCAGAGGCCGCTGCTCTGGTCCTTCTCCAGACACTCTGACTCTCGCCCCGCCCCCTCCCACACCGCCACCCAGGCCCCGGTCCCTGGCCTCGGGCAATGAGTCATCTGTTCTCCCTCTCTGTGATTTCGTCATTTGGAGAATGTTATATAAACGAAATCATACAGTGTGTAATCTTTGGGGGGGTGGCTTTTTCCACTCAGCACAATTTCCTGGAGATCCATCCGAACCGTTCTGTGTATCGAATGCATGCTTTTTATTGCTGAGTATCATTCCAGTGTGTAGATGTTCTGCGGTGTGTTCAACAGTTACTGTTCTGATGGGGACTGGAGTTGTTTCTAGTTCGGGACTATTGCAAATAAAGCTAAACACCCACGGATCGGTGTTCGTGGGAAAGTAATTTCTCGTTTTCCAGGGCCAGTGCCCACGAGTGTGACGGCGGTCATATGGCACTGCCCTTCCAGGTGCAGTTTGATAAGAAACTGCCACACAGTGTCCCAGTGTGGCTGCCCCACTGCACACCTCCGGTGAGGAACCTGACTTCTCCACGGCCTTGTCAGCCTTGGGCGGAGTCACTACCATTTACTGTAGCGATGCTGTTGGTATGTAGTGGTGTCTCACCATCGTTTTAATGGGCAGGGCCCTAACAGCTGATCACATTGAATACCTTTTCTCGTGCTTTTTGCCTTCTCTGTATATTCCATGGGGAAATGTCTTTATGTCTTTTGCCCTTTTCTAATTGAGTTATCTGGGGAGTTTTTAACCTGTTGAGTTTTGTAAGTTCTTTAGACAGGGTCAGGTACAAATAATGCCCCTTTTTTATTACAAAATCTTTCATTACAAAATCATAAGCATGTAATTTTGCAACATAACAAAATCACACTCAAGCACATCATGACATTTTAGGTGAAATGTTGAAAGTATAAATTATGACACCCGTATTATTACCCTACCAACCTCACTCAAGCAGGCGTTAGTTCTGCTGGACCCTGTATATTCTAGATACAAGTCGTTTGTCGGATGCGTAGATTGAAAATAGTTTCTCTTAACCTATAGCTTTTCTTTTTATTTTTGTCACATGGACTTTCTCAGAGCAAAAGTTTGAACTTTTTATTAGTTCATTAGTTTTTCTTTTTATGGGATCATGCTGTTGGTGTCAAGTCCAAGAATTCTTTGTCTAGGTCTAGATTTCACAGAGTTTGTCCTATATTGTCCACTAAAAGTTTTATACTTTCATATTTTATATTTAGATATGTGATTCATTTTTATAGAAAGTGAGAGGTTTTGGTCGAGTGTCCTGCCTTTTCCCCCTCTGGATATCTGCCGCTGCAGCACCATTTGCTGCAGAGTCTGACCTCCTTCCATCGAATTGCTTTCATATCTTTGGCAAAATGCAGTCGGCCCGTTTGTGTGGTTTCACTTCAGGTTCCGTTCTGTCCCATCGATACACGCATCTCTTCCTCTGCTGATACCACGCAGTCTTGATTACGGCAGCCATACAGTCAGATCTTAAAAGGTAGAGTGATTCTTCCCACTTCCTTCTCCTTTTTCACAATTGCTTTCACATCCCAGCGATTCTAGGGGATGGTCTTTTCATATACATTTTAGAGGAACCTCCGGCACTGACTGTAAGTGACGTTCTGCGGACTCTAAGTGACATAATTGGAAACACATGTAGAAAAGAGGGTTTTGGACGTTAGTGTCCACAGCCTGGTCTTTCTAGTGTTGTCTGGGCTACACTTTCACTCTCAGTTTTCCTTGTCACTTTGCCTTCCTTGTGCCACGTGGCCACAAAGCTCGGCATTTCATCAGACCCAAGTGAAACTACAATCGAGCCACAGGCCATTAAGAGACTAGGAAGTCCATGCTCCACCTTCACTGATGTGGACAATAAGGCCCAGAGAGAGGTTAGGAGACTTGCTCAAAGTTGAACAGAGAGTTTGTGCCTGAAGCTGGCCCACAATAAGAGCCCTGACTACAGTCTGAAGCTGGGGGTCTTGCTACTTGGCCCTGACTTTGAAGTAGCACAGCTCAGCAGTAGGGTCATTTGCTCACCTAAATCAAGGTCATTCTTGCATCAGCTTCTGCCAGGTTTTAAATCAGAGGCAAGGGGAGAGGCCGGGAGGAATGGAGGGAGAGAAGGTAAAATAGAAAAGGGCTTGACTTCTGCTGCTGCCCCTTTAACCGGTTCAGAAGGTTACAGCTTTCAGTCCTGTGAAAAATGTGGACAAAGGAAGCGACTAGAACACGGTGGGGAAAGAGACACGAGTCCTCACTGGGTGTTATTGTTAATGGTCTAGTAGGAAAGGGGAATCAATTACTAATCAGCCACTAGTTGCAAGTCACTGTGGGTGATTACCTAAGGCTCCTATCCCGCCCCTTGCCCTCAAGGAGTTTACCATCAACTTGGCAGAGCTGGCAAATACTTGTTGCCCAAGTGACAGGAAATATGAGTTCATAATGAGGTAAGAGTCATCTCTGACTGTGGAAATACCACTCTGTTTCTGATGCTCATTTCAACAGAGTAAAGAGTATAGCCTTTTGGCGTGAACCAATGAAAAGTCGTTTCTTTTTGCTCCCTCTTTCATCAGGCGTGCTGCCTGTGTAGACCAGTTAAAGAGTGTTCTGCTGAGTCCGCAGTGGCGCAAGCAGTGCTCACGGCCGTATCCCTGCTGCTGCAGCCAGGCCCATGTGCACTGCAGGACACACCAGTGCCTCCCTCTCCCACCCTCCTGGCCATAATCACGGTCCTGGGGGAGACTCAGGGACACAGAAGACCCTTTAGTGTCCATATCCAAACCACACTGGTAGATGGGCTGTCTGATAGGTTAAATCCCAAAGGTGTATCAGCGAGCAAAGGAGCAACCGTGGCTGATAATCCCGATTCAGCCTTTGCTTACTGTTTCTTTAAGTAGGAAACAAAAGTTTGGCATCCTCTCTCACCCTCCTCATTCAGTCTGACAGTCACTGGGAAGGCACAAGGGGGGGGCGGTAACAGGGCTGGAGCAAGGATGACTCTGGAGCAAGATGGCAGGTGCAACTGCTGACAGGTAGCAATGACGACCTTTGCAAGGATAATGTCAGGGCAGAGCAAAGGGGAAGCCTCTCGTAGTTGGGGGATGGCTCCCGGCAGGGCGCTGAGCAGATGGACATACTGAGGATAAGGGGGCCCCGAGAAATAGACAGAAGGTAGATGTAAAGGTACCCACGTACCCGTACATACCTGTGTATGTGATATGCAGGGATAAAAATAAACCTACTTTCTAGCTCTGAGAAGCCCTGGGGAAGGTAACGTTCCAGTAGCAAAGGGCACACTCTTAGCACGTAGATCTTGGCTTCTAACTTCACTCTCCACAAAAAGGAGACAAGGCTTCTTAGGGAGCCGGCTGACTCAGGCCGGGAAAGCACACGATGAGCCATGTGAACAGCCTGTCGTGGAGGAAATGCTCCCAGAACGGTGGGCACGTGTCAAAAGTTCACAGAAGCCACTTTCACAGGGATCCTACTGTCAAAATCTGGGTCAATTTGAGCGTCAAAATAATTAGTGACAATAATGGATTGTAACCCACTGAGTACTAGATTATAATGAGTAATAATTCATTTCTTTATGAACAAATGAATTTAAAAATTGGAAATGAAAAATTTTCTCTTTGCTATAGAATGCCAACTACAAATGTGTAAGAAATGAGCCAATTAGAAAATTACCTTCAGGCAAACACACATCATCATAATAAATTCAGTCAAGAAACATCAATGGGCGCTAAAACCAGTTAGTAAAAGTGGAATGAGTAATGCGATATCCATGATACATATTAATTACAACAGAAAAAAGTAACTTTATAGTAGAGAAATGGGGGAGACACCGTCTTAATCAAGTGATCGAAGTTGCTATTGGGACAAAGTGATATCAGGAGCCACTCGATAGGTTGCGGTGAGAACACAAAATCACTTTGGTGGCATTTCACTCAAAGTGCGTAGCCTGGGGCTCACCACGAGGAGGCACAGGACAAACCCAAGGTGAGGGTCATTCTACAAAATGTAATCTGTATAAAAGTCAAGGGCACTAAACTCATTCTAGAGAGACTGGATCACATGACTGAGACTTGAAGTCTTTGCTAGCAAGCCCATCTGAGCTAAAACTTAAAAAGGGTGTAGGCGAAAACTATACAGTTCTATATACTTGGTTCTATTCTTGAAACTTTTCTGTAAGTCCGTACTGGCTTCAGAATTCATTTTGTTCAAAATTAAGATGGATTAATAACTAGAGATTGGAAGGAAGGCCTGAGTGACAGTAGCATGCCTGTCGATGCTTCTCAAAGTGTCTTCTGAGGACAGACGTCAGTCTGCAGACAGACATTGGGCTGCAAGTTTGACATTCTGCACCAGGAGAAGGAGCTTGCGCCACACTGTCAGCCACCTCCCTAAGCACACTGTGCTTCCACTGACCGGTTTTTTAAAGCCCGACTTTCTTTATGAAAGAAGTAGTATATTGATTACTTTCTGGACCAAGCCTCTCGTGCCATCAGAGAGTGACACTTAAGAGTGGCACTGGTGTAAATCACAGTGAAACCTAGGTTGAAACTCCATAAAGGAGATCATTAAACTGGAGTTCTTTCCTGTGAGCATCACAGTTAAAAATAGTCACAATCCTATGATCTCAAATGCCTAGTTCAGAACATACTCCTCAATGCATTTTGGGTGAAAGGGATCAGCACCAACAGGACCTAGCACAGGTGTGGGCCCAGTGATCTCACGGGCTTTTTCTGATCAGAATGTTTTCCATCTCTTGGCATCTCTAAGTCCTCAAAGGAGGGAACATCCCTTCACACTCTCTTAGTTCATCATTGACTCACCACCAAATGAACAAGGGTCAAACTCTTGCAGTGGAGAGGAAAAAATACTAAGTAAAGAAACATGTTTAAGCAAATTAGTGAAGGCGAAAAGTTCCATACAACTTTAAGACCTCCCTCATACCTAAAAAAGCTGTCCCTGGCAGATGCCATGTTTAGTATTTACGTCTAGCAAACTGGCAAATAAGCGTCTGTACTTGATATCTTTTTAAATCCTCACCTGAGGATATGTTTATTGATTTTAGAGAGACAGGAAAGGAGAGCGAGAGAAACATCGATCATACACACCCAGACTAGGGATGAAACCCGCAGGCTAGACATGTGCCCTGACGGGGGATCCAATCCACAACCTTTTGGTGCACAGGACAACACTCCAACCAATTGAGCCTCAACCCTGGCCAGGGTTATACTTGGTTTTAAAAGCCTTTGGTCATCTATTAATCATTCTCTCATATGAACAAAAATCTTTGTTGGCATGTTCCTCTCACATGATTGCAGACATTCTTTCTCCTGGCTTTGCATTTTTTTCTTCTGGTTAATTCTACTTGCTAATTCCAATTAAGGTATAAGCCTTTTTTTCCTTCTTAAACTTCTTGTGTTTATGCATCAACCCATACCACTCTGCTTCTGTTGCCAAGAACATGCGTTGCCAAGGTAAATAAGATCACCCACTTGGAACATTGTGGTTCAGAGTGTCAGGGACTTCAGGATCCAGGAGCTTGGGGGTTGTGCATCCAGCTGGGTCATGTGGCCTTTTGGGCCATTCAAGTCGACCAGTGGGAGGAACAATCAAAGAATGAGCAGGATCCTCGGTGCCAGCCCAGCATCGTCAGCAATTGCTGCACATCCAGGAAGAACATAAACACCACTACCTTGACCCAGGGAATCGATTGTCCTTGCTGCACCAATCCTTTTGTAGCACCTGCAGGCGACACAAAACATGGGGCCATCTGCTGACGTCTGGCTGTTTCCTTCTAGCCAGCATTGTTAGTCCCAGGTCTCCAGAAACTGTCTCATCAACATGGCTATGCTTGGAAACGAGAGCAGCGCGCATGTGAACAGAGCCCTGGAGGGGGCAGGGAGGGTTTTCAGAGATCAGCAGAAACCCTGAAAAACAGATCGTGTTGCCACAAACGTGGTGGCTTCCAGGCCAGTCAGAGCCCTGGGGATGGAGCTCTACTGAGGTACCATTTCATTTCCAAACTTGAACATCGGTATGTGTCCTCTGCCTTCCTTCACAGCCACATTGCCTGCCCCCGCTGACTCACCTTCCACCAACGCCAAGTCTCGTGGTGGTCCCTACATATCCCACACTATTTCTTACTTCTGGGCTTAGCTCCGAAATTCCTCCTGCCCTTTTGACCAAAGGCCCAGTACTTAGCTTGGAGGAGACACTTGGGCACAGTTGTTGAACTGAGCCACCAAGACCTTAGGCCCCTTTTCTTTATGTGGACTAGACAAGCGGCTAGGGTTAACTTATTGGCTGCTCTTTAAGGCTTACTCTTGGTTCATTTCCCATAAATGAAAGATCTGACATGTCTCAGAAATATGTGATGCCCATCTCGGAGATATAGGGTGCCGATCAGAATTTTTACCTGCAGAGACAACCTTTGCACTAGCTTAACCAACAGCACACACAGTATAACCTCAACAGATATCTCAGGTCATAAGGGGAATGGTCTCGTCCAGACTGAAACATACCTGAGGTGTGACTCTGTCTGCTCCGGTGTTAACAAAGCACTAATTCTCAAGGCTCTTTGTTGCTATGGTGATTTTCTCTGTTGACTTCAGCCCCGTGAGGATTCCAAGGCCCTGTCATTCCCCATCATTATGACACCCCTATAATTCTCCATCCAGACAAGAATACTTTTGAAGGTCAAAAGGATTAATGTGATTCATGACTCCAATGCATCATGTAAAACAGGACAATTCTTGGGAAATTAGAACACATTGTCCCACACGGGGCTTCCCACATAAACAGGCCCCCAACAACCGTTTCCTGACTGAGCACACTTCAGTTTTCTTCTCCCCAGCTTCAATGTAATATCTAAACACAAAGATGAAATGTAATGCTTCATCTACATTATTCATAACAATGGATATATAACAGCTGCTCAAAACCACCTGTTAATTGACTCATGGTAAAAGGTTCTTCCCAAGTGAAAATTCCCTATGGGTAGCTGGGAATAGGAGAATAGAACTTTGCGGAGAAGTTAAGGCTGGAACATTTGGGTGGGTCACCAGCATAGAGGAGAGAGTGTGAGGAGTAAAAACTCTCCTGAAATAGTGTAGATACCAAAGAAAACTTGACTCAGTGATGAGACATGAAACAGGAGGGTAAAGTCCTCCCGTCTGCGTGATATAGAGGTCACGGACGTTTACTAATCTTAGGACAGTACTTAATCAAGTGTGAGAAGGGGGAGGGGAGAAACTTGGAGGTTATTTTATTTAAGGAGAAAAGTGAGAAAATGGATAACTTTAGGCAACACCAGCTTTGATAATGATGACTGAACACAAAAATAGTAAAAAGAAACTCACACTGTTGACACAAGAAAAAAACCTTGGGCCATCTATGGCTCCTATTGCTTTATTTTACAGAGAGAAGACGAAGACATGGGGAAGCTAAACGACATCAGTTCCCTGCTGCCCTTCTGAGAAATTCTTGCAGAGGGAGTTTGACAGCATTTAATTGCCCATTGATCATTACTTCAACAATCCTGGGAAGAATTAAATCTTTGTTCTAAGGCATGAATATTTGCCATGTTAGACAAGCAAGTGAAACTTTTCAAAAGTTTTTGCCAGGATAAGGAACTTGTCTTCTGGTTTGGTGACTCTAACCTCCGCCAGGTCTAGGTTAGCCAATGTGGAGCTGTCCCTGGAAGCAGCAGAAGAATGAAGGGGGGAAGGCACCCAGAAGTCGGGAGCTGAAGCGCCACGTCTGGCCCCAGTGAGAGGAATTCTGGCCCTTGCTGCCTTTGGCCCACAGACTGCGAAATGTCAACAGCCGATGCAGATATTCACCCCCCAAACTGGAAAGTTCAGTGTCAGAGTATACTGAGGACATAAACTGATGCCAAAGCAGAAAGCTCGATTTAAATACTGTTTCAGTTTTAGCAGTGACCAGAAATGTCACCCTCGTAAGGTCGCTTTATTTTACCAAGACTCTCCTAATATTTCAAGGGTCTTCAAAGTCACAGCATTATGAGAGTCAACATCTTGGCATCTATCATCACACATGCATCAATCATTTCCCACAGTTACCAGGGCGTCAGAAAAGAAAAGTACAGTGCATGCTAACTGCCTACTCAAGCTATTTCTGGCACGGTCAGAGCCGCGGGCCTCTGCCTGGGCAGTACCAGTTGAGGTTCTCAAAAAGAACACTCAAGCACACGGGGCCTGCACCATACCTTTTTCTCCTCCTCTCTTTTCTTTTGCAAACAGAATGGTTTTTCTGGCATAATTATTATTTTTTTAAGGGAAGATTAGGTAAGGGAGGGGAGAGGTGGACCTTAGAGATTCCAAGAACTAACAAGACTCTGGTGCCAGAAAAGCATTTTAATCAGGACTTTAATTCCTTGGTTTATTTAATGAAAACTTGTAGATTGATGAATTCCTCAGAGAACAGGTCCCTCACCCAGCCCGCTGTGCTGCCAGCCCGGGGCTGAGCGTGGTAATTAAAGTGCAGCTGTCGAGTCAGCGCCACAAAGGAGAGATGTAAACACGTTTTCCTTCAACCCTGCAACCCTGTGCTGGGTGAGCAGGGAGGTTCTTTCTGTAGGTGAAAAAGGTTAATCAGCCAGCTCAAGATAGATGATTACTGCACCCTGAAGTCTGCTCCCTTTGCAGGAATTAGAGCCCTAGAGGCAAAAAGTGACCCACCCAGGATCTAGGCACCCCTGCGGAATGATTGACAGTACTGACTGGAACTGGCTGGATCCGGAGAGGAGCGCCTTTAGATGGCGTCAAACACTGAAGAACTCCGTGTTAAGGAGGAAAGATCCTGGTTTTATTACTTGAGTTTACTGATAGGAAGCTATCTGGGGATTAAAGGTGTCAATGACGGCACTATTAAATTCATGATGTGCAACCAAAATTGGGCCAAAAGACTTCTTTTCAGTTTCTGGACCCCAAAGGTAAGCCTTAGAAGTAGGTTGTTAAGTCGTTTTGGAGAAGATCTCAGTGTTCATCTAGACTTACTGATGAGCATGGAGAGGTAAAGAAAGGCACAGCGACATGCCCAGCACCACACCAGGAGCTGGCAACAGCGAGGTCTGCAATCAGATCCCTTGACTCTTAGATGAAAGCCAGCTTTCTCCAGCTGCAGGGATTCCCACCCTGGGCATTTGCAGGACAGTTGCTCTCACTATCTAGGAAGCAGACAAGGGAATCAGAAAGGTAGATATTTTCAGCAAGTGTTTACGTGACCATGAACTATGCTGCCACGTTTTGTTTACAGAGAAGGAGAGGAAAAACCCAAGGCCTTGAGACAAGAGGCCTTACAGTCAGACAGATTCAGATTTTAGTCCTTCTTCCACACATACTCAGCTGTGCAATTGAGAGACAAATCACTTGATCTCGCTAATTCAGTAGCGTGGTGAGGATAATAACTATACCTAATTTAAAGGTTCTGGGAAGGGCTAAATGAGATCATGTGTATGGAACATTTAGCACCATGCCTTGTAAAGAATATATGAGCTGTCATTATTACTTTGGCTTCTGTTATATGTTAGTTGGCCGTGGTCAATCAGCTCCATTCAAAGTCACCTTGAAGGCTGCCGCATATCCAAGAGGACCCTCTTCTGTGCACTAGGGGCCAGTGTCCTGACACGTAGTTTCCATGGGCCTTATAAACACTTTAGCAGAATAAACTGGGTAAGAGAGCATTTAAGAATGGGTAGCCCTTCAGAAAAGAATGGGCTAAGGGAGTCCAGGGATGTGTGTGCTGTGAGACAAGTTCAAAGACAATGATCTTGGCTTCCCAGGAAATAGGGAAGATATCAAGTGAACTGGCCGGAGGGGAGCTTCACATGATACTCCCGGCCCCCAGAGGAGCAGGGCAGACCTGACCTAGGGTTATGGTTGGCTCAGTCTCTCACCATTCAGAGCACAGCACACACGTTTGGATTAAAGCTGTGCAAACCATGATTCGGGCCAGGTGTCCTCCAGGAGGTGGGAAGAGGAAAGCAGAAATCCCCCCTCACCTCATTCAGGGAAGTTACGGGGTTTTTAATGCCGAGCAAAGCCCCCATATGGGTAAAGAGGCAAGGTTTCTGTGCTCGGTGGGACTGATTTTCCAGGCAGGGGAGGGCAGAGGGGCTTCTTCCTTCTGTAGGAAAGAGGAGAATGGATAAGGATTTAGTGGCAATTTAAGGAAATGAAAGAACGAAGTGACCCGGCCCACCCTAGAGGGGATCCTTCTCTTTTTTGTCCCCTCAGCATTTTTATAGTCTCCACCTCCCTGCAAGGCACTGGCTTATCTAACAGCTTGGGATTTTTCTTCTCAAACTTTTGGAAAGGATGCTCACTACCACTTGACTAGAAGCTCCCCCAGTGAGGGGCTGCTTCCTCTTTCCTTCTGGGTTCCCCTGCAGTGCAGGATTGGTAGAGCCGTGAATAGGTGCACGGTTAATGCCTGTGAGTGTGTCTGGAGAGACCTGTGTCCCCTGCAGCTTTTACTGCCCAGGCCTCCAGGTGTCGGCTTCCTGGGCGCCAGCTGCAATCCCCAGCTGTTCAACAAGGGCTGTGAAAAGGGTGTCCTGATAAACTGGCCCCTGCTGTGTTGTTTGCTGTCTAACTCGGAGAGCACAACTGATTTCTCCTATCTCATTACAGACATTCCACGGTGCAAGGGAGGAGGCCTCCCCTTGACCCAGACTCAGCTTTGTGAAAAGTACATAGCAGGTCCAGAGCATGTTATGGGTC